CCACAAAACAGGTAACAAAAAAAGCCGTAAATATGTATCTATCAACAATTATTTTTAATGTGAATGGACTAAAACCCCAATCAGAAGACAAAGGTTGACAGAATAAACAAGATACATCTATATGCTGCCTACAACAGACTCATTTTAGACCTAAAGACACCACAGATTGAAAGTGAGAAGATGAAGAAATGTCTATCATGCAAATGGATATCAAAAGAAAGTCAGAGTAGGGGTGTCTGGGTGGCTCAGTCAGTTAAGCATCTGACTTTGGCTCAGGTCATGGTCCTGGGGTCCCCAGCAGGGAGTATGCTTGTCCCTCTCCCTCTTTCCCCCTCCTGCTCATGCTCTCTTTTGCTCTCTCTCAAATAAATAAATAAAATCTTTTTTTAAAGAAAAGAAACAAGAAAGCCAGAGTAGCAATAATTATTTCAGACAAAATAAAATAGTCTTTATTTTATTTTATTTTGGCTGGGTACAGTATACTTTATTGGTGTACATAACAATGTAAGGCTCCCTGAGCCCCTCCCCTTCTCCAAGGGGTATGAGATGGAAACTATGGAGTTTAGTAGATTCTCCCTGTGTTAGGGGATGAGTTAGGGCAAGTATTTCCCAGCAGCTAAGGACCTCTCTCTTCCTCTTGCTCTTACTGGGGCTGGTGGTCCAGAGGGATTTTACTTCTTGGAGGCCATGTGAACCATATCATTCACCATGTGGTTGCTATAGCCAAATTCATTGTTATACCAGGAAATGAGCTTGACAAAGTGGTCATTGAGAGTAATGCCAGCCCCTGCATCAAAAGTGGAAGAGTGGGTGTCATTGTTAAAGTCACAAGAGATAATCTGGTCCTCAGGATAGACCAGGATACCCTTAAAGAGGCCATCCAATACCTGTTTTACCACCTTCTTGATGTCATTGTATTTGGCAGCTTTCTCCAGGAGGCAGGTCAGATCCATAACTGACACATCAGGGGTGGGGACATGGAGAGCCATGCCAGTGAGCTTACCATTCAGCTCAAGGATGATCTTGCCTATAGCCTTGGTGGCACTGTAAAAGCAGAAATGGTATTCTGGGCAGCTCCTTGGGCATTCATGCCACAGCTTCTCAGAGGGCTGTCCACGGTCTTCTGGGTGACCGTGATAGCATGGACTGTGATCATGACTCCCTCCACAATACCAAAATTTTCATTAGGGGCCAAGTAGTTGGTGGTGCAGGAGGCACTGCTCATCACAAAATATGGGGACCTAAGCATAAGGGGCAAAGATGATAATTCTCTTGGCCCTGTCCTTCAAGTGTGCCCCAGGCTTTATGGAGGTGAAAATCCCAGTGGATTCCACAACATACTGAGTGCCAGCATCACTATATTTGATGGTGAGATCTGACTTCTGGAGGTTGGAGATGGGCTTTCCATTGATAACAAGTTTCCCATTTTGAGCCTTGACTGTGCCACAGAATTTGCCATGGATGGAATCATACTGGAACATATAGACCATGTAGTTGAGGTCAATGAAGAGATCATTGATGGTGATAATATCCACTTTGCCAGAGTTAAAAGGAGATGACATGATACTACATATAGAAAACCTGAAAGATTACCAAAAAAACTACTAGAACTAGTAAATGAATTCACTAGAAAATTAACATACAGAAATCTGTTGCATTTCCATATACCAATATATATTTCCATACACCAGCAGAAAGAGAAATTAAGAAAACAATCCCAGGGGATCCCTGGGTGGCTCAGTGGTTTGGTGCCTGCCTTTGGCCTAGGACATGATCCTGGAGTCCTGGGATTGAGTCCCACATCAGGCTCCCTGCATGGAGCCTGCTCCTCCCTCTGCCTGTGTCTCTGCCTCTCTTTCTTTCTGTAAGTCTCATGAATAAATAAAATCTTAAAAAAAAAAGAAAACAATCCCATTGAACAAAAGTAATACCCAGAAATAAACCTAACCAAAGAGGTGACAGACCTGTACTCTGAAAAATATAAAATACTGATTAAGAAGTTTAAGGCAACACAAAGAAATGGAAAGACATTCCATGCTCATAGAATAGAATATTGTTTAAAAATGTCTACATTACACATTTAGTGTAGCCTTAATCAAAATAGCACCAGCATTTTTCACACAGCTGGAACAAACAATCCTAAAATTTGTATGAACCACAAAGACTCCAAGTAGCCAAAGCAGTCTTGAAAAAGAAAAGCAAAGCTGGGGTCATCATAATTTGGACTTCAAGTTACATTATAAAGCTGTAGTGACTTAAAATTAAAAAAACAGTATGGTACCAGCACAAAAATAGACATACAGATCAATAGAACAGGATGTAAAACCCAGAAATGAACTCACAACTCTATGCCAATTAATCTTAGATAAAGCAGGAAAGAATATCCAATGGGAAGAAGACAGTGGTGCTGGAAAAAATGGACAAATGGTGCTGGGAAAACTGGACAACTACATGCAAAAGATAGAACTGGACTACTTTCCTACATCACACACAAAAATAAATTCAAAATGGATGAAAGACCTAAATGTTAGACCTGAAACCATAAAAATCCTAGAAAAGAACACAGGCAGTAACTTCTTTGACATCAGCCATAGCAACTTCTTTCTACATATGTCTCCTGAGACAATAAAAACAAAATCAAAAATAGACTATTGGGACATCAACAAAATAAAAAGCTTCTGCACAGCAATGGAAACAGTCAACAAAACTAAAAGGCAACCCATGGAATGGGATAATATATTTGCAAATGACATATCAGGTAAAGGGTTAGTGTCCGAAATCTATAAAGAACTTACCAACTCAACACACATAAAACAAATAATCCAATTATGAGATGGGCAGAAGACATGAATAGATATATTCCCAAAGAAGACATACAGATGGCCAACAGACACAAGAAAAGATGTTTGTTATCACTAAATATTAGGGAAGTGCAAATCAAAACTACAGTGAGCTATCACCTCACACTTGTCAGAATGGCTATTATCAAAAGGACAAGAAGCAAGTGTTAGAGAGAGTGTGGAGAAAAAGGAATGCTTTTGCCCTGTTAGTGGGAATGTAAATTGGTGCAGCCACTACGGAAAAGAGTAGAGATTCCTCAGAAAATTAAGAATAGATCTACCAAATGATCCAGCTATAGCACTTCTGGGTATTTATTCAAAGAATATGAAAACACCAATTTGAAAAGATGTATGTACCACTATGTTTATTGAATCACTGTTTATAAAAGACAATACATGTATGCAACCTAAGTATTCATCAATGGGTGAAAAGATAAAGAGGATGTAGTATATATAAACAATAGGAAATTGCTCAGCCACAAAGAAAAATGAAATCTTTTCATTTGTAACAACATAAATGGATTTCAAGGCTATTATGTTAAGTGAAATAAGCCAGAGACAAATACTGCATGGTTTTACTGATATGTGGAATATAAAAAAAAAAAAAACTAAAACAAAGCAGTAAAAAATCAAATTCATAGATACTGAAAACAGTTTGGTGGTCACCAAAGGGGAAGGATGATAGGGGATGGATGAAATGGGTAAAAAGTCAGTTGTGTAATAATGAAAAGTAACTAGACTTTTGGTGGTAAACACTTTGTTGTCTATTCAGATGTCAAATTATAAATCTGTACACCTGAAACATATATAATGTTATATACTAGTCTTACCTCAATAAAAAAGGTGAAAAATCCTTGAAATGCTAAAATATTTTAAAAGAGATAAACTACCAAGAGACAATGATAGAGAGGAAAATATCACAAGTCTTATAGATATTTCATAAAAGAGAATATTAGAACACTTCTTCCAATAAATTTGAAAGATTAATATACAAATTTCTTTGAAGACACACTACCAAAAATTTAATTTATAGCTGAAAACCTTACCATAGAGAAAAGTGTTTGATAAAATTCACCAAAATGACTTGTCTGGTGAATTTTATCAAACATTTAAGAAAGAAACTGTATCAGTTCCACAAAACTCCTGCAATAAATTTAATACAAGAAAATACATCCTATAAGGCCAGCATTACCCTGATCCTAAACCAGAAAAAGCATTGTTTCAAAATCAGCATCCATTCCTGATTTTAAAAACTTTCAACAAACTAAACAGAAAGGAATTTCCTCAGCCTGATAAAAAGCTTCTACTAAAAATCCATAGCTAGCATCATACTTAATGGTGAAAAACTGAATGTTTTTCTCATAAGAATAAAAACAAGTCAAGTATGTCTGCCCTAACCACTTGTATCCTGCACTACACTGTTCAATCTAGCAAGTCAGGCAGCGAAAATGAATAAAATGACCAATACTAGAATAAAAGAAGTAAAATGTCTTTATGCACTGAAAACATGATCATCTATGAAGAAAATCCTACTTACTCTATAAGAAAACAAGTAGAAGTAAAATATTTTGCAAGTTTTCAAAATACAATGCCAATAAACAAAATATCTATTATATTTCTATATATTAGCAATAAAAATATAAATGAAACAAAAATGCCATTTAAAATAGCACCAGAAGGGATGCCTGGGTGGCTCAGTGATTTGAGCATCTGCCTTTGGCTCAGGTCATGATCCCAGGATCCCAGGATCTAGTCCCACATCGGGCTCCCAGCGTCGAGCCTGCTTCTCCCTCTACCTGTGTCTCTGCCTCTCTATCATGTCTCTCATGAATAAATAAGTATTTTAAATACATTAATTAATTAAATTAAATAGCACCAAAATTAAAATAATTAGGAATAAATCTCAAGAAAGATATGCGAGACCTGCTCACCAGAAACTATGTAACATTGCTGAAAAAAATTAAATGGGATTTACATAGATAGCGAGATATACTGTTCTCATGGCTCACTCTTCATAAGGACTATATTATCAAGTAAGAATTATATTACAACTGTGATAACACTCAAATCAATACTTGATGTCTCAAGTTTTCTGAATCCAAAGTATCAAATATAGAAACAAAAGGCTACACCATAATTAGTGAGAAAGCCTTAGATTACCTATGAGATCTTCCTGTAAATCACTAGCTGTCTGCATACTCTCTTCATTGCTGACTTCATGTCTTTATTCCTGAATGTGTAGATAACAGGATTTAAAAAAGGAGTGAGAACTGCATCAAAAATAGCAAGAAATTTGTCCATCTGGGATTTGGGGTGTGGCCATGTATAGACAAACATGGTTGGACCAAAGAACAAAAGGACCACCATGATGTGAGCTGACAAAGTGGAGAGAGCCTTGGATGAGCCACCTGAGGAATGTTTCCAAACAGTAAACAGGATGAAGACGTAGGAGATGAGGAGTATGAAGAAGGAACCAACACAGATAAACCCACTGTTGACAGTGACCATGAACTGCAACCTGTAGGTGTCTGTACAGGCCAGTCTGAGGAGACGAGGAAGGTCACAGTAAAAGCTGTCCAGCACATTAGGACCACAGAAGGGTAGATTAACAACAAATGCCAGTTGGAACAGTGAGTGACTGACACCAAGGGCCCAAGCAGCAGCCAGAAATAAGATGCACCTCCGTGGGCTCATGATGGTCAGATAGTGGAGGGGCTTGCATATGGCCACATATCTGTCAAAGGCCATGGCAATGAGCAGCACCATCTCCACGCCTCCAATGACGTGGATGAAGAAGATCTGGGCGATGCAGCCGCCAAAGGAGATGACTTTGTGCTTTCTGAAAAGGTCATAAATCATCTTGGGTGAGGTAGCAGAGCAGGCTCCCAAGTCAATGAAAGAGAGACTGGCCAGGAGAAAGTACATGGGGGAGTGTAAGTGAGGATCAATGGTCACAGAAAACACAATGAGGATGTTTCCAGTCATGCTTGCCACGTAGAGCACAGAGGAGAACACCAGAAGGAGAAGCTGGATCTCCCATGAGTGAGTGAGTCCCAGGAACACAAACTCAGACACAGCTGAGTGATTCCCTCCATCCATGGATCCGGCCAACTGGGCTGCCACTGAAATGATGGGAACTAAGAATGTGAGAAAGAAACTGTGATTATGGAGACGATAATCGGTAATAGAATTACCAATGTTTCAATACCCTTATCATGAATGAAAAGTATTTAGTTATCTACTTCCTCACATGTATAAAAAGAAAAATCAACACACTATCATCACACATGTGAGTGATGACGTGTTAAACCATTCACCAAAACTCTGACTGCAATGTTCTGTTCTCAAATTAGCAGATTAAACATGAACATGGTTATATGAACATCCATGACATTCATTACCTGTCTGAATCACTTCTGATATTGACTATTCCTCATTCCAACATATCTCAAATTGCTTTTATGTATATTCTCATAATCCACTCCCCAGTTTGCTCCCACAGTTTGCTGATAAAAAGCAGAAATGAGAAGGGGTGCTGGGGTGGTTCAACTCTTGATTTTAGGTCAGGTCATGATCTCGGGGTCATGAGATCGATCTCTAGGTAGGACTCCATGCTGGGCAAAAAGTGTGTTTAAGATTCTCTCTCCCCTTCTCCCCCTGCCCATCCCTGCCGTCTGCTGTCACTCTCTCCCCTTCTCCCCCTGCCCATCCCTGCCGTCTGCTGTCACTCTCTGTTTGGGATGGGGGTGTGGATAAAAATTTAAAAAAAAAAAGATAGAATGAGAAGAAAGCATGAATAACAAGTGGAATGTCGCCTGAAATGAGAAGTGCTTGATGTAAAACTTAAGACTGAATTAAGACAAGCTGCAGATTGAGATTGAATAATGAGACTAGGGTATGTGAAACTGGACAGCTCACAAAGGTAGTAGACACTTGTCACATGCACTCTACTACAAAATATAACAACTATTTCCCCATCACATTTTATTATGTCATTATCCCAGGTGCTTCTAGGTTCCATGCAATTTTCCATAGCTACAAAACCCTAAACTGACCTCAACATTCAGTAAGAATTTCATAAGGAGTGTATGCCCCTAGGGATGCAAGGCTCCAAACCTAATGAATGCATATTTAAAAGATTTCACCAATTTCAGTTAAGATGCATGCCTAAAGTGGCCACCGAGGGTTTAACATATCTTTGCAAACAGCTTTTCTCTGTCCACACATATAAAGGTATTAAAGATCAGCACTTGGAATTGTTGGAGTACTTTTTAATTCATTAGTGTCTCGGCCTCTCTTTGGTATCAACTTTTATGTGCCTGACATACCCCAACCCTTGAAAGTGCTCAGTACCACCCGCAGGGTAACCTGTTGTGATATGTGGTATTATCCTGCTTACTTTGACTGAAATCCATTCAGATACTTTATTTTCAAGGCAATTTGTATTTTATGCTTTTGATTTATGATTTAAGAATTAAGAAAATAGCTGAAAAAAACATAAAATATATACATAATAAATATAGTCTAATGTGATATACAATACATGCCAAGTGAATACTAAGACAAATATGTGGTCATGTGGAGCAGGGAAAGGGAAGTGGGCTAAAAACATTCAAAGGGAGAAGACAACCTGTATCAAGACCAGATGGGCAGCAGATGGCTACCCCAAGAACACATATACTTAGATTACAATTACACAACATATATATAATTGAATTTAAATAAAAAAATAAGTCTTTGAAGGTAGTTAACAGTCATCTCAAATAAAATGTACACCTTTTCAGAAAGAGAGAAAAGTCATTGTATTTTTTAAGTCACTGTATTTGAAACACTGGAGATTTATACTGTTTATAAATTGAATAAATAACTTGTCAATCTCACAACATAAATCTATAATAAAACTGGGTTACACATACACACAAAAAAGAATTAAACTGAATAAAAAGAAATATACAGTATGGAAAATGGAAAATACCTTGAATTACGTAATATGAAAGTAACTTTTAATATTTTTAGGAACTTTTAATATTAACTATTATCATTATGCATGTGTGTATAGCCCATATTATGTAACCAGGTATATACAGAAAGTCAGTAGATAGTTTTTGATTAAGAAGTTAGATTAATAACTCCAAGCTGTAGTAAGGCCATGCCTTCAGGTCAATTATCTTTACTATTTTTTATTCTCTCCTTTCTTGGTCATCTTCTCCAATCATTTTAACAGACATAAGGGGAAATTTCTCATTTAAAAGCTTATAGTAACCATAACTAATAGTCTCCTAGTGAGAAGGCACCTAAGGCTTTACAGTGTATTTCTTGGTGAGGATTAAATCACATCTAATCTTCAAGCCTATAGGCAGCAGTCAATTTATTTTCCTGAAATCGATGGAATAATCTGAGATGGAGAAAAAAATAAAGCAGAGAGAAAGAAAAATGAATGAAGATTTTAAATATGGGGAAAAGGGGAAATTAGGAAAGACATATATGATAAAGAACAAAAAGAAAGAAACCGCCAGAAGAAAGAAAAAAAATAGCTGAACAAGGTTCAGAGAGTATTAAATATGGTAGCCAAGGTTTCTGAGAACCCAGGTAAATTAAAGAGAAAGTCAATCTCTCACCTTAAATTCACTGATTCAGGGCTGCTCCTGAATTTGACATTGGGTTGCATTTAAGGAAGGCAAGATGCTTCTGTTACCTGCCCGGTCAGGCTTACAGAGTTTCTGTGGAAATAACACGTGATAGTGAATGGAAAGATTGATTGTCTTTTATACTGTACAATGATATAGACAAGTAATTCACTGTAAAATTTTTACTGTTTTTATGATTTGAGGAATCGAAGCATGTACTAAGCAGGACAAGGAAGCATACAGAACAGACATCAGGCAAGTGAGATTCCGCCCACTGTGTGTTCTCTGTGTGTTCTATCCCACTCTATCTTCTCTGTCCATCATCTGCTACTGAAGGTCACAGTACAGTTATTTCCAAAGGTGGTGTTCTTCTACATGGCAGACTTATCACATGGCTATAGGCTCACATTCAAAAACCCAGAGATCATTTCCAAATTTTCATCTCTATATTCTTCAATCCTAAAAATACAAAAAACTCACAGACTGCCTTACACACATGATAGTAGAATGATTAGCAGCTTGGGCTTTAATGGCATCACCACTCCCTTGTTACATGAGCATATCAAAGTTACCTAATCTCTCTGAGCTTCAGTATTCTCATTACTAACGTGGAGATAATACCTCCTTGCAGGGTGTTGTGAGAAATAAATGATATATGTAAACCTACCTGGCCCAGTACCTACCTACCATACAGGGTAGCACAATAAACTACTATATACGGAAGTGACTACATGAATAACTTTCAAGTACAGAAAATTGTTCCTCAAATTCTGAAACTTCCATTGCTCTACTAAACCTGGTTTTAGATGAAGCTTTCATATCCACACTTGCATTCAATCACTTAAGCATATTTCCCAAATAACAATTTTTCTCCTTAATGGAAATCAAAGACTAATGAGACTGCCTAAGGGATGCAGGAAGGAGCTTTGTGCTCTAACCAGGGGACCTCTGCTGTCCCCACAATCCAAATCCATAAATTTCAATTTAAAAAAGTAAGTTTTTCTAACCACCACACATAACACTGGATATTTCTCTTGTTGTTAGTGGTAAGAGGAAAGAGAGAACAGAGAAGGAGCCAAGGCAGGTGCTCCAAGGAATTTCTGAAGGCTGTGCCTATCCAGCCTCAAATTTGTGTTGGTCTGCCAGGAAAACAGACTTTTCTTTAAAACTGCCTTTTTCATAAGGCATATAAAATTCTTTAGTTTTTACTTCCACTTTAATTGTACAAGTGGAGAACGCAGAGATAGTCTAGGCATATTATACTCAGATGGTTATTCAAAACCAAAGTATTGATTATGTTCTAGTCCCCATTCTTGTCATTTATTCATTTTGTTAAAGTGGATTTGCTTACTAAATATACTTCAGGCATTGCATGATACATGTCATGAAAGTGTAATTGACCCTCTAATATATGAGCAGAGTGGAAAAAGATCACTATAGTGATGAGAAAAGGCAGCATAGCAGAGGTGGCAGTTGTATATAGCTTCAAGAGTTGGTAAATATTACAATACACAGAGTCAAAAGAAAAGCCATTTCAAGCAGATGATAAAATATGAAAAACAGAAACATTTTTATTTGTTAATGGTGAACCATGCAGATTATCTACAGAATAGATACTGGTTTTGGAGAGTAGAAAAGATAAGAGAAAGATGGTAAAAGTTAATTTTAGCCTAACATTAGGAACTAATATAGATATTTAAAAATTATGAGATAAATATAGGGAGTCAATAAAGAGGGTGCAAGAAATTGATAATAAGACCGGCAATTAGGGAAAATGCTCCATCTGTAAGTGTAATGGGTCATTTGGAGGAAAGAAATAATGGAGGTAGAAAGTCCTCTACAGAGAATAAAGCAGAAATAAAGCAGATCTGGGGGCCTATACAGATATACTAAAACTATAAAGTTTTAGCTTTAAGACTCTCAAATTAGAAAATGAAAACATTAAGAAATACACACAAAAAAAATTGGTGGCTGATTAAAGTTGGAATGAACATGAAGAGCAAAGTCAAAGATGACACCAAGATTTGAGCATGGATAGATAGGACAATGGTGGATTCATTTTTTTAAAAGAAAGAAATTGGACATAGAATTTGTGAGAATGGAGAAAATAGATGATCATATTTATATTAAACAATTGGAGTTTCAGATACTAATGAGATGTACACGTGGAAATATGAGTCAGGATATGTGGAAAGAAATACAGGTTCAAAATATAATTTTATAGTAATCCATATGAGTAATAACTGAATGTACATGGGTGAATAAATTCCCTAAGGGAAAGAATATATAGGGAAAAAAAGCAAAATCCAACACATAGAAAGTCATAGTAATAATGTGATAACAGACAGAGCCAACAAATTAGGCAAAACAATCACAGAGATAGGAGAACAATCAGCGGTGAGCCAGAGAAGCCAAAATTTCTGTGGCACAATTCAGTTTCTGGGCACTGAATAGATGGGTCAGGTGGCCAAA